GGCTCGGGCTTTGCCAAAATAGCTCGGCCCGGCCCGACCTATAGTTAAACCTAAGTAAAAACCCTATGTGATGTCCATTTGAATAAATTTTTTGATTTRWGAAKGTTGTTGATTCACTTGTAGGCCCATTGTTCATTTAAATAGGGGAAAAAAACATCTAAATTAAAATAGAAAATGTCCATTTGAATAGGGAAAAATTCAAATTTCTTTTATTAGCTTGGGCTTCGGGCTCGGGCTCGGGCTTTTTATCAGGGCCGGGCTCGGGCCCAAGTTGTAGGCCCGTTGGTCGGGCCGGGCTCGGGCTCGGGCCTAACATTTTTCTATTAATAAAGAGTCAAAGCCCGGCCCGGCCCGGCCCATGAACAGGTCTAGTCTAAAAGTGAATCTGAGTTTCCAAGGTGCTGACTCAATTTGCTTTGCCCATGTTATGATCAGAAGGGAGTATCCTTCAATTTCCAACTCTCTTGCCCCTAATTGTTCAGCAAGCTTCAGTCCTTGCAATTGTGCTTTTGATTCAGCCTGAATTGAGTCACCAAAACCGATTTGTCCCGAGAACAAGACCATCACTATTCCTTGATGGTTTCAAAAGACTCCCCCTATTCCTGCTCTTCCTGGGTTTCCAAATGAATTACCATTAAAGTTTAGCTTCTGTTTATTTAAACCTAGTGGTTCACACTCCATTTTTATAATTTCTCTATGTGGTTCTGAGAGTGCCATTCCTCTCCAATTTCTTAGGAAGTCATCTGTGGGAATACCATTGAACAGCTCCAAGGTTTTAACCCAATGTACTGATCTGATTTTATTGGCTTCAATCACCTCCTCTAAGGATTTACTTTTTCCATTTAAGATCCTTTGGTTTCTCTCTTCGAAAATAGACCAGACCACAACTGCACGTACTACCTTCCACATACATCTTCCTCTTTTCTTCTGTTGCCTCAGGAAAGTTGGGTTGAAAAGGCTCACTACGTCTTGTCGGGGAGCCCATCTGCAATCAAAGAGAGAACAAAATAGTCCCAAATACAAGAAGCAAATGAGTGGGAGAGAAGTGAGAAAGGGTTTCACCACAAGCCTTGCAAAGAACACACACATGAGGAGAAAGGCACATGTTCGGCCTTCTTTTCTGTAGCACGTCACAAGTGTTTACCTTCCCTAGGAACATTTCCCAGCAAAGAAAGACTTGGGTTTCTATTGACATGTAAGATCAGTAAGAATTATAACATGCCTCAATAAACCTTAATCAAAAGTGACAACCAAAATGCCTTGTGATTTGTAAAAGGGCTGAAACCAAAAACCAACTCCATAACATTGGTGCAAGACTTAAAACAGAACAGATTTCCTAACTTGTATCAAACATGAGCACTTTGAGAGCTAGTGGGGCACCTTTATCATTGATATTTCTTTTACTGTATAATTGGAGGTTTTCTCGTGTATTTGATCTTTTTTTTTTCTACAATGTTTTGGGGAACCTAAAATTTCTGTAACCATGTTTAAAAAAATTGAATTATTTTTTAAAAATCTTTGAGTGATTGTCAACCAGTCTACTAGTTGTCTATTTTAAGTTACACCTATAGGAATAGATGAAGTCCATCAATAGGTTCCATGATCCCTACGGCACTTGATGTGTTCCCTGATTTGTTCTACTTGAAGGTGAATATGCATAGAGTCAGGAGAGCAACATTAATCACAACAAAGAAGATTTTGTTTGAGAGTTAATGCATGAAGACAATTAATAGATCTATTGTTCCCTTATTTCTAAGTACATTTTATTTCTTGTTTTGTTGTTACCATGATGCTAAGATAACCAATAAACGTCTATGTACCATATGGCCCTTGTTCATTTCTTGAATACATCTATCATTTGCTAATTTCACTTTGAAAGAGGGAAATTGAATTCAAACGCATGTCATCTTGGAATATGTGAAGCAGGAATTGATTGAGTATTGACTATTGAGCATTCAATCTATGGAATCCATTGTATTTCTAGCTTGATGAGGTTCTTCTGTGGTTTGGGCAGGTGGATTGTGTGTTGGTGACACTTAACCAGAAGTTCTCAAGGATTAGGCTTGATCAATGAAGGCAAGGCTTTTAATAGTATGCTCGTGTCAACTATCATAGTTCTATCACCTCTATGGTGGATTGACTTCGGCTGCTATCAGGGAGAAAAGGAATTGGTCTGTTGCAACATGTCATTTTGTTAGACCTACTAAGAATTTCAAGTAAATAAAATAAACACATGTAAGAGAGACAAACTTTAGTGGAATTATGAGAACATGTTTTAGCAATGCTTTTTTGAAGATAATAACCTTGGTTTTTGTTAAATATTTTTCTTTTTGTTTATGAGTTTGATTTTTCAGTTATAAAATTTTAAACTATTCCAAACTGGCCATAAAGTACAGAATGAGAGGGGAGGCAGGAACTTGATTATGTGTTGAATCTCATAGTCACAGCATATCAGCACATCCCCAACCTTATTTACTGAATATTGTGAAGATTTGGTCTATCAATAATAACGATTTATACTTTTAATTAATTTAGTTTTTTCGTTTTAACTTTTAACATATTAAAAAAATGTTTGCACGTATGACATCCGGCATTGGTCTTATTAATTGGATTGGTTGGGATAAAGTAATTATTAGGGGATGAGTAATGGGCCATCTCTGACATTGTTGTAAAATTGTAGCTTTTTAAAGATACAAGACTTACGTGCTTCTTTAACAAGTATGAATAAATTATTTTTAAGCTCAGTTTGGAAGGAGTACAAATACAAATATGTAGAGTGCAAAGCCTTGTATTTTGTATTATTTTGTAGCAGTTTTGTACTCTATAAATTTGTATTTATACTCCTTCCAAACATAGTCTAAACCTTGCAGTTTGTATTATTTTGTATGTATTTGTATCGTACATTTTTGTATTTGTACTCCTTTCAAACTAAGCTTTAATTATTTATCCTCAAAATACAAATTAACAAAGTATGAATAATTGAAAATTTAAAACTTTTGAAATTTCAAATTGACATAGTGGATAAATTATCAATCCCATTTTAGATAATTTATCACTTATCAATCTTCCTTTTTCCCGTGTTTTTGGCCTGTGCTAACATGGGCCCCTCCGCTAGTTTCTTAATGAGAAAATATTCATTCAACTAAATTAATCAAAAGAAAATAAAAAGGGAAAACTACAGGAAGATACCCTATACTTTGGGGAAAATGAGTCCAATGACACTTAAAACCTTAAACTTTCACTTGTGAATCCCACCTGTGATCAAATCCTAATGAAGGTGTTGGTAAAGTCTTTAGCTGGTTGTAGTGGTGATTTGGGATCGAATTCAAGGTTCAAAGTATTGATACACTTTGATGCATGCATATTAGGGGTTTTCACCACACACTCCCTCTTTTTTAGTGTCTTTTGCTCAAATCTCCCAAGGGGTCGGTCTTAGGCTTGCCTATCCCGGGAAATGAGAGATTTGGGTTCACTTGTGACAATGAGAGATTTGGGTTCACTTGTGACAATGAGAGATTTGGGTTCACTTGTAACATGGTTTGAATAGCTAAGAGCATAAAATTGCAAAATGATAGAAATGGATATGGTTACTTTAACTAGCATACCTCTTTGGAAACAAACCTTCGGGAAGGTTGATGAGATTGTTGTGTTGCTTTAATGTCTTATTTGTCAAAGCTTTTAAAAAAGGAAAGAATGGGTTAAGAACTAGGGTTTTAAAGATTCAATAAAGGAGAGGGCAAAATAGTCTCGTAGGGTGATTTTGAGTTTTTTTAAGTGTTTCAAGGCACACATGACATCATGTGCTCTTGATAATTAACAGAATGCTAATGGTTGAACTTAAGGTTATGCTTGATTGTAGTGCAAATAAATTTGCATCGATGCAAAACTATGGCCGTATAAATGATTTAAGTATAAATTTTGATCTATTTATGTTTCAAATTTTAACTTATTTGGTTTGATTCCAGTATAAATGAAGTAAATCAAGACATGAAACAGAATAAAGTAAAACTCAAAACAAAATTAAATGAGAAATTGCATTTTTTTTTTCATTTGCACTATCATACATTTGTGATTTGTACTAGAATAAATAAAATTTCACTACAACCAAAAACAGCATAAGTCTTCTATAAGTACAAGGTATCTTTTTGTTATCAAAAGTTGAGCCCTTAAGTGTTACTATCCCCATAGTACAGGTGCCTCATTTTAATTATTTCAATAAAAACAAATGTTGATTTTCCCGCAGTTTTGTATTAAAAAGGTTGATAAGAGAGTTGTTAGGGGTATTTTTGAAATATAAAATTTTAGACTGGTGCCCTTTCACGTTTTGTATTAAAAAGGCTTAGTTTGGAAGGAGTACAAATGCAAATATGTAGAATGTAAAAATTTTATATTTTGTATTATTTTGTATGTATTTATATTGTATATATTTGCATTTGTACTCTTTCCAATCAGAGCAATGAAAAACACAAACATGTGGATGAAAGATGAATTAAATAATRAGGTTGCAAATTATGGGGTGTTTTAATAATACATAAATTATAGGGTAAATTTTAAAACTGGACTGGATAGGAAATCATTCAGGTCAAATGGTCCCACTATTCTGTTTGAATGGATGACACGTTCTGACTTCAAAAAATAAACAAAAAAATAAACAAAAAAAAAGGCAAAAAACCATTGTCCAGGTTGACAGTTTAATGGCTTAATCGCTTAGCTTAGCGGACTGTTAACCAAATCAATGATTTTTGGCCAAAAAATGGTTTTAGAGTGAAATAAAACCGACCGATTCTCAATTTTTCGATCCAACCATCCGGTCCAGTCCACTTTTCAAAACTATGCTCCAAGTCTTTACCGGTCTGAATTCAACAATGCTTAGATTACCATGGGTGCAATTTGGATCGGATTTGATTAGAAATTCAAGGATCCGTTTGAAAAGAGTATAAATATAAGTACAAGTACAAATACAAATACTATCATTTTCATCAACCTTATCAAATTTTGGTCTCAAAGCCTCAAACCCTAACCCAAGCCAAGTCCGATGCTCGAAAATTCTTATGAAAAGATATACAAAGAAAATGTACTTATGAAAAAATATCAAAGAAAATGACTCACTTTGTAATTAAGACGTGATTTATAGACAATTTCAATACGTTCATTTTTACCCTTGAAGTTGACGATGAAAATTATTAAATCGACTGAACAGCATTACCTTGTGAATGTGATGATAGCTGACTGACGCCGTGAATCAAATTATTCGGACTCCTGAGATTTCTTCTCTCCTTTTCGACGCTTCTGCGGAGGGGCGAACGAACCGTAACCACCAAGCAAACGAATTTAGGGTTTCAGCCTTCAGGTTCGAGCCATGCCTCTTCSTTTTCTTCTTGATTCTGTTTGGTTCTCGTTCTCGGCTCTCTCTCTCTGTCTCTCCTGCTTAAATCGGGTTTATTCATTCGACGTTTTCTTAAAATTTCCGTCTGTTCTAAAGAAGATTCATGTTCCTATTATGTGATCACAGTGTTTGCGTTGCCAAGATCTGGTTTCTGACTCGAATTGAACCAATTGCACTCTATGATTCTGCAAAAACTACAATATAGTGTTGATACTAAGTTTTGCAGATGAAATTCCTACTTTTGTCATCGTTTGTTTGAATTGTACTAATCATAGCAACCTTTAATGTGGAGCGAATTTGTTGGTTATTTGATTATTAGACTCGGTGAATATTTGAAGAATATTCGAATACTTTCTATGTAGGAGATTCGGAATTCACATATAACTAACCAGAATGACTAATCATGTGCAATTAGGAATAACTAGACTATTTTAAGAATTAGTAGTCATGCATACTCCAAGTCATCCACTTTTGCATCTTTTCCATGTAATGTTCTTCGTGTAACATCTCGCATTGGTTCGTATTTTTAATTTGACCTATTTTAACATAATCATAAGTGGTTATCTTTCTGTAAGCAGTGATAATGAGGTTTTCCAGGTTCTGATGGCATTTTACATCTTGCTGCTTAGTTCACTGAAATAGGATTTTATGATTTTCTGTAGGTTTATAGTGTATTAATCAACTGGATCACAGTACTTGAGGGTATTGATACATTGGAAGCCAAACCTGAGCTATGAGTCAGAAAGGCTTAATATATAGTTTTGTTGCAAAAGGGAATGTTGTATTAGCAGAACACACTTCATTTACTGGGAACTTCAGTACCATTGCAATTCAGTGCTTACAGAAGCTACCCTCAAATAGCAGCAAGTATGCCTATTCGTGTGATGGTTACATATTCAACTTCCTCATTGACAGTGGATTCGGTATGAGTTTTTATTTATTCATTTACTTGATTTTTTCCCTGACGTGCTTTATCTGGTTTTCTAGCAACTCTCATGTTTGATTGGATATATATCATGGATTTTCAGTTTTTCTTGTTGTTGCTGATGAAGCTGCTGGAAGAAGTTTACCTTTTGTGTTTCTTGACCGAGTGAACGATGATTTTAAACAGCGCTATGGGGCAAGCATTAGCAATGCGGGGCCACATCCGCTTGCTGACGATGACGATGATGATTTGTTTGAGGAGGATAGATTTAGTGTTGCATACAGTCTTGATAGGGAATTTGGGTATGCCAAGATATTCAGTGTTTCAGTGATGCACATTCTGAGTTATGCACTGCTTATTTGTTTTATTGTATATTCTTTTCATGTTCTTTGATCCTGTAATTTGTGCTTGACTGAACAGTCCCAGGCTCAAGGAACACATGCAGTATTGCATGAACCATCCAGAAGAGATCAGTAAGCTATCCAAACTGAAGGCTCAAATAACAGAGGTCAAAGGAATCATGATGGACAATATTGAGAGGGTACATATTTCACCTTGGGGTGTTGACATGTTTAGTTTGACAAAATCTATCCAGTAATTCATGCAGTATTTAATATGTCTGCAAAAGGCTGAAGAATATGAATTACATACTTGTTCAATTGGTGATTTAAATTCTGATCTTATTACAAACCCTAGAAAACCCCAAGCTATTGTTTCCTTACCGATCCATGTCATTGTTGAGTCCAGGTGTATGATTAACTTCATCCCTGCATATACTATCGAACAGTTACAAGAAGTACCACTCCTTGTTTTATCTAATTTTAGTCCCATAAATTACACAATCAGATCTAGGAATTTATGTTGCATCTCTTGTTTGTTTGTTTTTTTTTTTTCATCAGAAACTCAAGGCGGTGTTTTAAAAGCGCAAGGTGCAAGGTGAAGCGTGCACCTTTTTAAGCAAGGTGCAAAAATAAAAAAAAAGCTAAAAAATAAAAAATGTCAAAAAAAAGTGCCAAAAAATTCAAAAAAAATGCAAAAAATAAAAAATTATTAAACATAATATTAATAAAAATATAAACTTAAATTTTAAAATAAATGTTTTAAAAACCTATTGTCTAAAATTAAAATACATAAACATCACATGTAAAGCATATTCAAATGAGAATTTAAAATAAAATCAAACATATAAAACATTTTAAAGCATATAAATTCCAATATCTCTTTTTTTCTCAATTACATTACTTCAAGTAGCTAATGTGACATATTACATTCCTGATTCTACGAGCTGCCATTGTGCCATGCCCCTCGAGGTAAGCCCAAACGAGTCCATGTTAGGGTCTTAAATTCTTAGTTTTTACATAAAAAATAATGATTTTATAGTTTTAATTTCTTTTTAAGAAATTTTATTAGGATGATGAATGGACAACATTACCAAATAGGGGGTTCTCGAAGCTTCGGTGAGTGAAAGAAGTGAGCGAAAAAGTRTCAAATTTTCAAAAGGCGCATGCCTGAGCTGAGGTGCAAGGCACACCAGGTGCACACCTAGGCACACCAGGCATGCGCCTAGGACCTGGGCGAGGCACCTACCCTAAAATGTGCCTCGCCTTTGTGCCTAGGCATGTCTTTTAAATCATTGACTCAAGGAATTTTATTAAAACTTACAAGAAAAAGAGAATACAACAAGTCGTTAGGAGTAGAGCCCTTTACAACAAAAAGACCCTCCACCCTTTTAACATTGAGTCCAATACAAATGATTGTCCATATTTTCCTTTCTTAGCTAATCCATCCACCAAACCATTAGCAGAGCTCCTAATYCATCTTGCATGAATTTGCAATTGTCTTGACAGCAACTTGAACTGCCTGAATTCATTTCTGAATTTCCATAACACCCCTTCTCCTTTTTCAACCAACCAATTTCTATTTTTGAGTCCCCATCTACAGCCAGCCTTGTAATTCCCATTTCCTTAGCTTTTGGCACCCTGACAATAGAATCCATGAATTCACAGCTCTTACTTAATCAACCTGATCAATATGCCCCGAAAACAAACCACAAATATTCCCACTCCCATCTCTGATCACTCCTCCATTTCCGAAGAGTCCCAGATTGCCTAAACTACTTCCATCAAAGTTCAGTTTCGTCCACTTGCCACTTGGGCGAGACCATACCTCCAGGATCTTTTGTTTCCTAGAGGAAGAAAGGGCGATTGACCTCTAGCTTTGAAAAAAGTCTTACTTTGAGAAATCTGAAAATAATTTCAAAGTTTTCACCCAGTGTGCTATTCTTACTGTAATAGTCTCCAATATTGCCTCCTTACATCCATTCATCAAAAAAAATATTGCCTCCTTACATCTCTTGTCCTGTTTAGCAAGTATGTGTGCTATGCATTGGAGTATTGAATTATGTACCTTCTTTCTTTTAACAATTTTCAGAAAAAGCAAGATGGAAGTTAAACAAGTTGAAAAAGAGGAGAGATTAAGGATGAACATGGATGTAGTATATGTGATGTAGGACTGGCTACTCAATTATCAAATTGATGTATGACAATGACCCAAAGGTGAGTTTAGGATGGTATTGATTGGTTAGAATTGGGTTTAAGGATGATTTAATGACCCAAACGAAGGGTTGAAAGGGGTTTGAAATGTTTTGAGTAATTGTTGAGAATTGTAGTCTTTGTATGAGGGTAGAAAAACAGAAGATTAAAAAATTAAGCATAGAAATGGAATTTTTAATGAAATTTTGTAGACGCATTTAGAATGATGGATGCTAAAAGACAGCCAAGAGTATTCAAAGAGCTGGGCATTCCTTTGATTATGTTCAGCAATACATGATCACCAGAACGAGAGTTCTCAAAGACCTGAACATTCCTTTCCCCCCATATACACCAGAATACAACCATTGGTAACATTCCCTGGACAATTCAACCTCTAATACTTGCACTACTGATCTGCCAACTCAATAGAAAAGCTTGAATGCATTGTGGAAAGAACCCAACCTGTCCAAATGTATCCAGAAGAACACTCCATACTTTGGAAGCACTTGAGCAGTGCAAGAGAAGATGGTTGGTTGTTTCCAAATCTTCAGAACATAAGACACACCCCACTGGTCTGGTGACATTCCCCTATTTATTAATTTATCATGGGTCAGTTTTTATCTGAGAACTGCAGTCCAAGCAAAAAACTTGATTTTAGAAGGGGTTCCACCATGCCAGATTCTGTTACCTGGGAACTCATGGTGATCTTCTTGGCACAAACTTCTGTAAAATGATCTCACAGAGAACACACCTCTGCCCTCCCATGTCCATCTGCATGAATCAGTAGTACTCACCTTTGACATGAGCCTGCACAGTTTGCAGCAATTCTAACAATTGGTGAACCTCCCAGTCATTCAAACTTTTTCTAAAAGTTGGACTCCAATTGACAATACCATTGGATACTGAATAGCAATCTTTCATGTATCACCAAAAACCTCCCTGTATTGACTCTTGAGCAATCAGGAAAATAGCTTTGATAAATTTCCTTCGTCAAGAAGGAGCTTGAGAGAAACAGAGATAGTAGATAGTTTCAATAACAATTTTATTGAAAGTCTTTATCTAGGTGGCCCAAGGCAAACTACATGGATGATATCATTCTGTGTCTGGCACAAGGGCTGTTGCATCTGCTCATTTAAGTTGTAGCATATGCTTTTATACTTGATTCTTTTAGGTGTTTTATTCTGGTTTCTCCCTTCTGATTCTTTTCTTTTTTTTTTTTTTTGTCTGTGGATAACATTTTCACATGGGGTATCTGTGGATAACATTTTCACATAGGGTAATACTATGATGCAAACTTGCAGCACATCCTGAGAAATGTGTATTCCTTTGGAAATGAGCTTTCTAAAATCTAGATGACTGGTTTTAGATATTGTTGTCTACTCTTATCTTCTTTGTGTGGTAAGCATGGTTGCCAAGGCAACACCTAGGCACCAAGGCACCAAGGGAGAGTTGTCTCACTTACATTCCTAGCTCTTTTGTAATTATACCAAGCACTATATAATATTTTATATATCTTTATTTTGTTTTGAGAATAGGTAAAGTATAATTATTAAAGAAGGAAACAAAACATGTACAACAAGTTACTGTAAACAGGGATTTACATTCACTGCCTATGCAGTCCTATACCCCCAGCCCTGCTTTACGAAAAAGATTCTCATGTACAAAAAAGTGTTATAATTCCTATCCTTAAACAGTTTGTTTACAGAAAGCCAAGAAAACATTTTGCCCAAATTTTATATATCTTTTGTTTTCTGATATTATTAATAATAAAACAGACATTATTACACCCTTTATTCATTTTTCTGAGTTTATATACTAATTTCTTTTTATTATTTTCTTTTTGTTAAGGTTCAATCAAAACACATTTTGGTTTATGCTATCTTTAACCCTTGAAGACTTCAAAACCTGAACGGACGTGTGCTCTCTTCTTTTTTTTGTTTTTTTGATAAATAAGTGCTCTCTTCATCTTTTCATTGGACAAAAGCACTCTCAGTCCTTATGTTATCTGAATTTTGTTTTCTCTATGTAACCTAGGGAATTACCTTAGGACTTAGGGATTTTAATTAAAAGAAAAGCTAGGCAACAAAGTGCCCCTTGTCGTCTAGCCTTGTCTTAGCATCTTTTTTTTTTTTTTTTTTGATGAATGCCTTAGCATCTTGTAAGCTATGCTGATAASCTAGATTCATCCAAAGAGCAACAAGTGTAGGATGTTGTTATGGGAGTATTGTAGTGCAAACTAATAGATATGATATTTTCTATAATATGCCATTTCTAATTTGAATTAGGGGATTAAGTCCATTAGTCTAACCAAATATATATTTATCTAGCCATTGTATAAATTTTGATCCATGGAAAATAAGAAGCCAWTTGAAGCAATGTTTGGGGATTATTTTAAACTTTTTTGAGCAAAATGGTAAAGTATTTCATTGAAATTCTAAATGCAAATATGTACAGGAGGGCTACAAATGAGTTGGATCTGATCCATTTCGAATTCAAATTTGATCTGATAAGAGCCGAATTTAGATATCCTTTTAAAAGTTAAACGAATTGAACTGGATCGCAAAATCTGATCCATTAGCTTATTGGATCAAATTTGGATATTTGCCGATTCGATCTGTTAATATTTATTATTTTTATTTTACATATATAGTATGCACCAATATTTATTTTTATGACATTTATGCCCATATTTTCACAATTAATTGTTTTTAATATGCCTAAAAACTGTAAGTAGTTCACTGGCACCTTCTCCCTTGTTTGTCTTCAATTTGATCCAATAAGAAATCTGACAGATTTACATTTGATAAGAATCAATTGGATTTTCAATATTGTCGTTTGAATTCGTTCCGCTAATATTAATGGATATCTGATTTGAATATGATAATTGTAAAACACATCCCTGCTTGAGAATTTGTCAAAACTTGAAGTGGTTTCCTGTTTTCTTTGAGCTAAATGGGTAATCAAGTCTGAAGATAACTTAAAGCATGGAACTCAGCAAGGCTAATAAAGTCTGAAGATACCTAAAAGCATGGAATCAGCAAATATTGCGGTTGGACGTCAGTTACTTACTGTCTTGAATATCTGGCGGCAGTATTCAACAAATTGACAAGTACTGTGTAGGTCTGAATATGAGGTTTTCAGATCTAATCTCAAAGAAAAAAATGCAAAACAAAAAAAAAAGTGTGTTAATGAGCAGTTAACCACCAGAGAAAGAGAGGGGGAACAGTGATGGAAGTCTGAGTGAGGATATGGAGAAAAGGGAGGAGATTTAGGACAGGATTAACACAGCCATTGTTTTTGCTGAAGATCATGAGGTTTTTACCCCTGTTCTTTGGCCTACTGCAGAAGTTGGGATTCAAATTGAAGCCAAACACAAGTTGGTTGCTAGGGGAGGGGGGGGGGGGAATTGAACACCCGATAGAGGAGGACCTAATCAGAAACTGAATATTGGGCAGGGTGTCAGTAAGAAAATAGTGGTGGATCACCAGAATCCTCACAAGGATTCTATAGGCATGGACAAACGACAGAATAGTGGGAGTAATTGTGAGTGTGACATAAGTACAGGAAGCTCCTTGCAGAAAACCTTTCCAGTGATGAATGTTGGAACCCAGCCTTCACAGTTGTGTTAGAGTGTTGGGATTCCACATCCAGTTGTTGAGTCTTCATTGGAGCCAGGTCCAGGTAAGTTTGTGGTTTTGGTTTTGGATACTAACCCTTGCTCTGTGCCTGTTGCTTGTTCTCCAGAGTCCCAAACAGTTTTTAAGCTGCCTGCCCATATTTTGGAAGTTGAAGATGAAAATATTGGTTTGGAGGTACAGGAAGAAGTTGAGAGAGGGGAGAGAGTGTGGGACCTAATAATGGAAGAGCTCAATGAATTGACAAGAGTAGAATTGGAGAAGGAAATTGAGGGCAAGGAAAGCAGGAATCCTATAGTCGGGGGTAGGGTGGAATCTGAGAGACGAAAAAGAGAAGACTCATTAGATGATTTTGTAGGAAAGTTGGGATGTAAAATAAAAGACCCGAATGAGCTAAAAGTGTACTTGAAAAACAAAAAGGAGGAAGGGGAAATTAGAAAAAGGAAGTTGAGTGAAGTTGAAAGATTAAGGTTGGATGTGGAAGGGGATGAAGAATTCAGTGAAAGGAAGGGGAGGGGAAGGAAAGGAAGTAGATAGAAGTAGAGGGCAAGGGGCAGATTAACTTGGAGAAATGAAGATTTTGAGTTGGAATGTGAGGGGCTTGGGAAATATATGGAAGAGAGCTGTAATAAAGGAAGTCTTAAGGAAAGAAAACCCAAATATATTTCTAATTCAGGAATCTAAATTCACAACTTTTGATAACAGGTGGGATAGAAGTGTGTGGAGAGCAAATGGTCTTAGTTAGGCAATGAGTCCCTCTTGGGGCTCTTTTGGAGGAATAGTAACACTGTGGAAGGATGAGGTTTTGGAGGGAATTGAAGAATTTGTTGTAACATTCTCAGTGTTTGTCAAATTTAAACAAGTGGCTGATGGATTTGAATGGGTTTTGAGTCTTTTGACTAATGTTTATGGCTCTAATGGTTATATAGAAAGAAATGAGTTGTGGGAAGAGTTAAGTGGTATCAAAGGTCTTTGGGGAGGAGTGGGAGGACCATGGTGTTTAGGAGGGGATTTCAATGTTATTCGATTCACTAAGGAGTCAAAATAAYGTGAGGCAAAGAATTGCAACATGTATGAGGAGATTTAATGATGCTATTGATATTTTTGAGCTCATGGAATTGAATTTGTTAATTGTTACATAACAGCTTCACTTGGTCCAATCTCCAGGCTGAACCAATTTGTTCAAAATTAGGCAGATTCCTTTTTAATGTAGACTGGGAAGAGCATTGGGGAGACTTGGTGTCAAGGGCAAATCCTAGGGTTACCTTTGATCACTGGTCAATCTCTATAAGTAAGCATGATTTTGGAGATAGAGGACTTTCCCCTTTTAGATATGAAAATATGTGGTTACATCATTTAGGGTTTAGGGAGAAAGTAAATGAGTGATGGAATGAGAGAAATCCGAGGACTAATTGGGAAGGCATGAAATTCCATTGGAAATTAAAAGAGCTGAAAATCAAAACCAAGGATTGGAATATTAGCATTTTGGGAGACTAGAAGAAAGAAAATAAGAGGTGATCAATCAGATTGAGATGTTGGATGCAAAGGAAGAAGAAGGATCTTTTGGGGAAAGGGATAAGGAGGTAAGGTGGGAGTTGAGAAAGAAATTGGAGGATATTCTTTTCAAAGAAGAAATCTATTGGAGACAAAAGTCTAGGCACAAGTGGGTGAGGGAAGGAGACAAAGTCTAGGCACAATTTGGTGTTCAGGGTGCTAGGTTTGACATGTAGTATATGTTTGGTATGGCTTCTATTTATTAAACAAACGTTTGTACTCGATTTGTCTTCAAAACTGAGAAAAAGTGATTGATAAACGCTTTTTCTGGTATTTGTTGACAGCTAGACGCCACTAGGTGCCAAATAAGTGGAACAGTAAATAAACATCTTTGTGTTGGGGGCATAGTTTTCAAGGTGCCAAGGTGAGGCTAGGCGACGGGGGGCGCCTTGTTGCCTAGTCGCCTAGGCGATGGATTTTTCTAAGTAAAAACATGTATCTCAGGGTAGTTCCCTAGGTTCCATAATCATATTTCCTTAATAAATACCCATAATTTTCATAAGTATAAACTTCATGTTGAAGTACAGAAAATCAACATATTCCAACATATTCACGAGAAGAAAAAGAAGTAAGAAAAGAAAGTTCAAAAAATATAGGGGCTGAACCCCTATTTCTGTTATAGGAAATTAGTATATAAACACACAAAATTAGTAAAGAAAAAGAAGAAAATGTGTTGATTGGACAACATTTTATGTTCTTCCTTACTTATTGGTTGAGGTTTTGAAGTCTTTGAGGGTTCAATACAGCATTTAGCAATGTTTGTGTTGATTAAACCCTAACAAATAAGAAAATAATAAAAAGAAAATAGTATATAAACAGACAAAATGAATGATTGTTTTAGTTTAAAATGTCTATTTTATAATTATAACCTCAAAAGATTAAGAACATAAAAGTTTTTTATTACATGCTATAGAAAACTGCTTGGCAATTAGGCGAGGCAAGCCTCCAAGGGTGCCTTGTCACCTTGACAACTATGGTTGGGGGAAACGTTAAAATAAGCTTCCCCCAACGGTTGGCTTGCATGTAAACCATGACAAACATTTATAAGATAAATAGGTGTGCGAAATAGCATGATGGGGCAAATGCCCACATGGCGATGACCTGGCACCATTTATCAAATAAACGGAAGCCATACCAAACACCCTGATAATATATGGTTCTATTACTGATAAAATGGTTTTATTGTCTGTAATATATCAAAATTTGAGATTTTCATTTCTGTTTAAAATATATTGTGAGTGCACAGTTGAAGGAGAGAAGGCTTTACATGTGTAATTTTTTCTCTCTCTGAGTGCCTGTTTCCCTCTTTTATCTTGCCTTTTGTCAAATGGATTCTGCTCCCTGGAGAAGTTGATAATTCTTAAGATTAGAGTCTGTTGTTCCGCTACAGGCTATTGCTTGGTGCAGTGGCAAAATCTCAGGCTGACAAGCCTAAGAATCATAAGGTTAGGTCCATATCCAGTCTATCCCTCCCAAGACCCTGAAAAGTCAGGATCATCATTGGCTAACTTGAATTCTACAGTTTGTTGTTCAGCAACAATTTTAGGAATACGGTAATGGTTTTGTGAGAAATTGTTTAAGATGGATTCTTAGGTATAATGGCAGTGGCATTGGATTTAAGCTTGAATATGTTGTCACTTTTCAAGATCTTAAAACATTAGTTGTTACTGATGGATGGTTAAATATTAAGAAATCGGGATAAAGGAAATGGATATCTTAATCTGTATTTTTTCTTAYAAGTTGGTGATCTTTTCTCTTGGGCTCATATTTCTTCTCATGGGCTATGCTTCTGGTGGCGGAGGAGCAGTTGTCAAGGCCTGACCTGAAGTGAACCCCTTGTCTCCCTAGCTTCAGAGCTTGAATTGGTGGATTCACAAATGCTATTGGAGCCTAGATGGTTGATAGGTAATGTAGAGAGAATAATCCAAATTTCCTTGAGGCATGCAACCTGACCAGTTGATAGGTAATGTAGAAGTTGAGTTGACAGGCATGCAAGTTGCAACTTAGTTTTTCCCCTGTTTGATAAGCAAGTTGTCAAGCCCTAGTTGCCTATGGATTGATTATTTCAGTTCTGAAGTGGATCAGTTTCATCTTAGTGTAGAACCAAATTAGGTTGTTGCATGCAGATGTCGGTCATGACTGTCGCTGCCATCTATAGTATGCTGCATCCCACCTGCATTTTTTCCATCTTTGCCCTCCAATCCTGATATTTCTTTGCAAGGGAAACGTTTACGTTGTAGACATAAAGGTGGTGTTTGGTTCCATTGCCATTTTCTTAGAAAATGGTGCCACATTGGAGCCRCATCAGTGACATTTCCCGAAGTGGCCTGATTTTTTGAGAATCGACGCATGCATTTATACAAACAGAAGATTGTGATGCGTTTTTGAAAATATCTGATGAAACGTGGCACTGTTTTCTCAGAAAACGGCAATGGAACCAAACACCTCCAAAGGTGGATTCGTGTAGCTTTCATGTTTTACAATGTCATTGTGTTGACACAGGACAGACTTCCGTCTATCAGCAGAAACACACTGTTTGTATATAGATGAATTAGGTAGGCTGTCAAAACTAACCCGATAAAATTCCAAACTGTCTTAGGTTTTGGATCGTGGAGAGAAGATTGAACTTCTAGTGGATAAAACTGAAAACCTTCAGTTCCAGGTATTTTATTGGCGTCCTACAACTGTTACTACATGTTTCTTGGAGCTTGGAGGATTGATGTATCCTTGACGTGGTTTCTGCAACTTGTTGTCAGGCTGATAGTTTCCAGAGGCATGGCAGGCAACTAAGGCGGAGGATGTGGCTTCAGAATATCAGACTTAAGTTGATGGTTGGAGGTACGATCCTGGCCGTCATCATCCTACTTTGGCTTTTGAGTTGCAGAGGATTCAAATGTTGATGGGAAGCACGAAATAATTACTGGAACCTCTCTATTGTGTACAAATAAAAAGGGGAAAAAAATACGTATCTTTGTACAATGGAACTGGTGCTGATTTGTATAAACTCAAACTACTTTCCTATCCTTCCAGCTAGCTTGATCGTTGTCCGTTGATGTAGGTCTCGGTAATGCTTTAATGCGAAAAAAAGGATCTTGATAATTTGATTAATTTGGAATTTCTGTGTAAAATATCAGATTGGTTGAGCTTCATATTTAAATTTGATTCGTTTGCAGACTGAGACTGGCCTTCTGAGTTCTGACTCGCGCGTGTGAGACAAAGAGATCCGGTCCAGCAGCCTCGCTGAACCAAAACTAGGCCGAACATCATACCCACTATTTGTTTCGGGTTCCTTCAACTTCAGGTGTTGGTTTTAAGGCTCGTCTACCCCCTGAACTAGAGCCAGACCCCGAAACACTCTTTTAAGGGTGTATTCAGAAAGCCACTCATACGATATGTATCAGTCCATACAGTCTGATATGTATTAAAATTTTGAATCTTACAATAATCAGGTAGTATTTATTTCTTAAAAAATCAGGTACTATTTATCAAAATACATGGATGGGGTTTGATTTTCTAATCGCTTCTATTATCATGTTTTTTGGGCAGTATAAATTTTTTTTCTATAACCATTAACTAAAACGAACGAGTTCACTGTAATACCCGAAAAGCTTGTAACCAATCAACTGATATCATATAAACTCGTTTTGGTGGTAGTTTAATTATTTATCAAAATTTATGGTGGCTTTTGATTCTTTGAGTTCACATTTCCTTCCCACAAGGGGTTGCCTTACAACGCCCCACAGCATATCCCTGCCGTGTATTGGGAACATCTTCCCTAATATTATCATCGGGAGATGTTCTCAATACATAGCGAGRATGTGCTAACATTGTGGGGCGGATATGTGATCTCTGATTCCTCAAAACTCTTCTACCCGTAGTATAGATTTTTTTTCCTTTTTTTTTTGGTATTAATAAATGCCTGAATCCCCATAGAGGTTGAGGTCGGAACTCAAAGCTGCATCTTCGCTGGGACAAATCGTCCAGCATAGATATTATCCTTTAGTATAAAAAAAAACATAGATTTTCTTTTGATTGCAGTGCAACTTTATTTGCACTAATGGGAGTATGCAAATTATTGTTTAATTTTGTTTTGAATTTTACTTTATTTTTTCATGTATTATTTTACTAAGATAAAATTTGAAACAAAAATAAATCAATAAATCAGAATTTGCATCCACAGATCATTTACATTACCGTAATTTTGCAGTAAATGTATTTGCACTGCACCCAATATGTTTTTGTGGAGGGAAGGTTTTAATAACGGTAACGGAAACTGGTTACAACTTACAAAGGCCAACATTGAATTGGACCAATTTGACTCAGACGGCAGTCTCCATGTCAATCCATAGCCGGAATTGGTTTTCGTTTTGGCAGATTCTCAGGACTCCGGCCATCTATACGTCTTGATTAAGGAACGCGAAATTTGAAGACGAAGGCGGAATGGAGCGGCATGCTGCCTTCCTGTTGGCGACGATGTGCCGCTGCCTCTATCGGTCGAGAATCGATATAGATGGTCGTCGTCACGTCGTCAGATTGGGTAGCATATAGCCTATAGGGAAATGGAAGAGAGAATGGTAGAGTGGTCTCTGCTTTGCAATTCGCTTGCTCCAATGATGTCTCCGAATGTCGATACAGCTGAAAAGGTAYTTCTTTTCTCTTTTCCTCTCTTAGTTTATTCTTCAAAAAATGGAAGAAAAAAGGTTTTTTTAACAGCATTTTCAGTTGATGTTCGTCGGATTTGATTTAGGGTTGCTCTGTTGTTGTTAATGAAAAGACGGTGACGTTCGAAACTCGATTCTATGTTGCTTTAACTATTGAGGGTTTGTAATCAACTCTCCGAACTTCTAGAGCTACTCGTCCTGAAGAATTTTCCAATCAATTTAAGTCTCGTCATTCGAAGAGTACCGCTCACACAGATAAACGTGGGTCTCTCAGTATTTTGTGGGTGTGGGTCTGAATTGAACAAACCATGGATAACACTGTTGACGTGAATTCTGGTAAAGACTCAAAAGTTTCAAAGCCATTAGACATTTCTATTATGTGAATGGAAACTTAAAGCAGATTTAAAATGCTTGGGATTTTGATGTGATTTTCCTTAGGATTTGGGTTGATTCTGAAAGTCTGAAACTGAAAACTAAGCTCCAATATGCATAACGTTGCATAGATCTACTATCTGATTAATTAGGTAGATGAACACTTCAAACTTGCAAGTTGTCAAGACCTTATTATACTCACAATTGTGGATTCAGTCTAGGATATCTTGATTCCATTTCTATATTATTGTCTTATTTTTTCTGTTTGAATTCATTTCCACTGCAGTTCATATCTTTAATTGACTTCATCCCTAGTTGGATGGCATCAGCTTCTGATGGATAGAGATAGAGTTTGTTGCTTTTGATATTAAAGATCCTATAAAGAGAATCATTTTGGAAAGAGCGACAATAAGACACAATTACTGATAAAAAAAGACAACTATTATAAAAAAGAACAATGGCCACTAATCATAACTAATGTGATGAAAATCAATCATGAGAAATAAGAGGTTGAACATTTTTTTTCACTCCATGAGGTGGAACATAATTTAAATATTCAAATTTCAATATCATTTGCAACTTAGAACCAAGCCTAGATAAAGGAGGAGGGTTGTATCAGGTTGGCATCTGGCACCAAAACTTTTGCCAAACCCTCATGAATATGTTAAGATGGATGATGAGTGGACAAAGTAGAAAGGATAGGATCAAGAATGAAGTCATCAGTAAGAACCTAGGCTCAATCTCTCTCTCTCCCGCTCCACAAACACACATTAAATAAAACAGTGGGTCCACCCTTGTTCTTTTTCTCTTTTACTTACTTTTTATCTTGAATTTTATCATATAAAATTATAACCTTCTTTAGTTTCTAATTTGATATAAAATTACTACTCATAAAAATTGATATAAAATTACTGTATTAAATACTTATTATACTAGTATTATTTTTGAAAGGATTTGAAATACTACTTTCCTGCAAAAAAAAAAAAAAGAAATACTATTGTCATAGGTTTGATGATTTGCCATGTTTTTAAGAGGAAATTGATGTTCTTAATAAAGAGAATTGCTTTTATTTTTTTTCAATTAATATGCATGTTAATTGATATATAAATCTGGGAAACTAGGCAAATTTTAGTTGTTTATTTTATGAAATTATGAAATCCTTATCACCTAGGCAACTAGGTGCCCTACTGTTGCTCAGAATCACCTAGATACCTTGACAACTACAACTGTACAGGATAGGATAGTGGACTTGCAAATAACACATAAAAAAAATAAAATGTCTTACCAGTTACATGGTTTCTATAAGATTGGAGACTGGTAAATGGTAAACATTTCCACAAAACTTCAATTTTTGTGATGCCTAGATCAGCAAAGGAGGATTTTGGAATCTCATATTAGTGCCAAATTCAAACCAGATAGTTCCCAACTTGAAATATGATTACAAACTGGGAAAGGCTCAAAGGCATAATGGGAACACAAAATACTTTATAAAAGGGGATAACATACAAGATGGGAAATGGGGGAAGGTTGAACTTCTGGCGGGAGAAGTTGTGGACAGGCAAAACCGTCAAGCAGATGTTCCCACAATTAATCTTGTAGAAGAAGACAAAGAGGCTTCTGTGGCAAAGTCCTATCAATTGCTGGGAGGAACGTGGCTTGGTCACCCAGATTTTGTAGGAATCTTCATGATTAGGAAATGGGAGGTAATCGCTTCAGTCAGATCCTTTGCAAGAAATCTGAGAACCCCCAGGGACACTATTTTCCCTAGTAAATCCATTTGAAGGCCATCTATCATTCAAAGATTACCTTTTTGCTGTGGTCTGCTATGATTGGGAAGTGCTTAATTAAAGATATCCTGCTGAGAAGAGGCATGCGGATTCAAGACCAATCCTGTTGGATGTGTAGAAAGGACCTATAAAATGTGGATCACCTTCTCATCCAATACCAGTTAGCCCAGGTGCTCCTGTTGCACTTCTTGAGGGTGGCTAACCTAAGTTGGACAATGCTTCATTCTCTTACTGAGTTGTCATCTGCCTGGCCACTTCAGGGTTTGACTAGGAAAGGAAAATTAATTTAGGAGATGGTGCTGGCAGTTGTTGTGGACAATATGGACTGAAAGGAACAGAAGGATTTTAAATAACAAATGCAGGATAGAAGAGGGGTCCATTAGACTGTCCATTGGAAAAATTGGGTCGTGGGCTTCAGCCTCCACCTCCAAGGAGTTCACTCACCAGTCCACTGTGTAGCTCTTTCAATCTGTTAGTTTGTGGAATCATTGAAGCGGCCCGTAGAATTTCTGTCGTACAAATTGCTATTTTCTTTATGGTCAATTCTCGAAAGGAGTGAGATTTAAGATTGGAGATGGATCACGGGTGAGATTTTAGAACTTGGAAGGACGTTTCCCTGTGCTATTCAATTTGGATKCTGRCAAGGATGTTAGACTAGTGGACTGCTTTCAGTTTCAGATGCAAGAAGGAAAGGTGGTGTGGCACCCTCAGTTCAGAAGAAATTTGAATGGCTGGGAGTTGGACGCTTGGTAGAAACGTTACATTTTCTATACAGTACTCAAGTGCATTCTGGTAATGCAGACAAAAGAATTTGACAGTGGGAAAAGACGGGAATATTCACAGTAAGCTCGTTTTACAAAGTCCTTGTCGGTTCTGATGGACAGGTGGTTTCTTTAAACATTATTTGGTGCAAGAATGTCCCTGCAAAAGTAGCTTTCTTTGTGTGGATGGCTTACCTAAACAGAATACATACTAGGCTCAATGTTGAGAAGGGGAATGATGCTGGATTCAATGGACTCTGTGCTCTGTGAAGGATTTGGAATCGGTAGATCATTTATTACTTCACTGCAGTTTCTCTTTTGAGGTTTGGTCCAAGTTTGGGGCGAAGGGAAGCTGCCTAGGTTCAGTAGTGGATTTTGTTAAGAGCTGTAGGTTAGAAGGGTTGACAGAAAAGGGAAAGTTGGCTTTGAACTTGGTCTCTGTTGTAGTTTTTTGGTGTCTATGGCAGGAAAGAATGCAAGGACTTCTAAAGGAAACAGCAGTTCTGTGGACTCTAACTTTCAGAAGGCTTTGGAAATATGTTTTCATGGATAGCTATACACAAGCTGTTTGAAAATACAAATCATGATTTCTTTTTTGTATATGGAAATTTTTGTAAATCAAGGGTTGGGGTTATAGCCCTGGGTACAGCAAGTTGTTGTGCATGACTGTTTTGCTCTTTTTTCTCTCTTTTTAATACAAAACCATACATTACCTTCTTTCAAAAAAAATGCTATTTTATCTATTGAATAAACTTACCTTATATTTTTCAAAAGACAATTATTACAAATTAAACAGAAGTCAGATAACCTAAACAGGGTGATCTGAATTCTTCCCTTACAATAACTTTCTGTGACCCTCTTCTCCAGTTTGTTCTACAAGAAATGGTCAATGTAAACCTTCTCTGTCTTTCAGCACTTGATAGAGGGGCCTTCACCATAAGACATTCCGTCAGTAACTATTTCTTCCTCGCTCTTCCTTACTCCTAATAACAAAGTGAGTTTTCACAGAGACTGCATTGCTTTGAGTCCAGCTTACCTACATGCCCTACGTTATTATGAAGGGTGCATAAGTAGAACATGCAATTCTATGGTGCTGCAATGTTAATGAGAAAGTGTGGGAAAGAGAGATCTTTTCAAGAAAAATAAATAAATAAATAAAAAGAAGGAAAAGAAAAAGAAAAAACATCATGTTATTTCTATAACTTGTATACCTGGGTTATTGGCAAATGATAAAGAACAGCTGAGTTTGCTGCTCAAGTTTCTTTTCTAATTGCATTTGTCTGTATCCTTGCATGTTGACTGCTGTCAGGAACAACTTGAGGGCTATTATTTTGGCCAAGCCCAAATGGAGGGATATCTTTCAGCAAGCAAAGCCTTATAAAGGATACCTGCAATTCTAAGTTAGAAAATACTGAACTACCAAATCAGGTGTTGGATGTTTTGCAAATGAAACCTGAAAGCAGCTGGTGGTTGCGAGGACCACCTATTGACTGCAGAGTGTGTCACATGCAGTCAGTATATATGAGAAGGAAGCCAGAACCAACATTTGGAGTTCCCCCACTAGGGAATCTCCCAAGGATGATAATTGACAGCTTGGGTTGCTCACAAGGGTTCATGCTGTCAACCTTATCCTGAACTATCAATAATAATTTCCTTTCCAATCAAAGAATGCATTAAAAGGAATTGGTTGTTTAAACCCCCTTCCCCAAGGCAAAGTATTCTCTGCCTCTTTTTCTATATCTGGCTTTATGCGTAAAGATCCTGTGACAGAAATTTATAAACAAGTAAAGCCTTTTCTTTTTTAATTTTTGCTGGTTAGGACTGTATATTGGATGGGATTCAAATAAGAATGCCTGCCTCTGACATTTTAATTTAGTGAAACTTAGTCAATAAATGAATGTGCACATCGTGCAGGATGCAGAAAGTAGCAAACAAGTTTGGAGTTGTGATACCAGTTGAAGAGGCAAATAATGCACATTACAATTCAGTAGCAGTAAGCAATTGATGTTGATAGGACAGATATTGGCCTGTGCAGGAAGTCCCATGTTCCAGATGGGCCAGGCAAGTGTTTGAACTTTCAGGATTCTCATATGCAGTTAAAATATTATTTTATTTGCATGCAGTTCAATTATTTTTCCTCTTCTGGCTACCAGGAAAATTTCTACTTTAATCCTGGTGATGCAAGGTTTAAGGTACATTGATCTTTGATAGACTTGATTTAGCTGGTGATTTTGTCCCGTGAAACTTATTGCAAGTTTGCAACCATGTTTGCTGCAAAAACAGGTCATTGGAACTAAGTTCACCAAACCTGGAATTAGTAAGCAAGAAATTTTATCTGAGAAGCAGCATTAATAGAATTCAAAAGCTGATATAAAGGAAATCCAAGTACTGATGGGTGGACTCTACGAATTATCAAGGGCCTTGTGTTATACATGCATAGTTTTTTTTTTTTTTTTTTAAGCAAGAAATTTTATCTGAGAAGCAGCATTAATAGAATTCAAAAGCTGATATAAAGGAAATCCAAGTACTGATGGGTGGACTCTACGAATTATCAAGGGCCCTGTGTTATACATGCATAGTTTTTTTTTTTTTTATATATATATCAATATACATGCATAGTTTAGTTTTTAAAGGTTTAAGCCTTAAATCAACGCACCGGGGTTAAGCTTGAACTACACATTCTGAAGCTCATGCCTGGGGCTGAGGCATACACTGCTGTCTCTTGCCTTGAGGCTTTTCATGGGCATAGGCCTCTCCAGTCCAAATGTTAATTCTGCTCTATATTTTTATTTTTGATTTCTAATGTGTAAAATGTTCAGAAATATGTTAGTGTCCTACCATGGTAATGAAAAAAAAAAAAATAGAGAGAAATAGAGAAATGGTATCTTCTTTATCTCAACGAGGGCTCTATTTGGAGAGTGGCCATGAAACCCTAAATCAATGTGCTCATTACTCTTAAAAAAATATTCATGACATCCAATTCTACAAGTTGATGAGTTCTTATTATAAAGTTGAACTGAAAAAAAATGCAACTTCATTGGAGGATCTATGATTAGTTTCTATTTTTTTCTTCCCTTCTATTGAACTTCTATTGGATGTAATTACTTTACAGACACACACAAATGCTAGTCGAGTGGCACATGCATTTGCACATGTAAGAGGAGAGAGAAAATTAAATGAACTAAAGGAGATGAGTTAAATATTGACCTTATACTATAAAATAATCCGATTTAACTTTTATGACCTGCACAGAACCCAAGGCAAGTATTGGCATTATATAGTATAGATGTGTGTGTGTGTGTGACCCTTAACTCCCTTGCTAAATACAATATTTCCCTTAGCTGTTGCCTGAAAGGCCAAGACCCTAAACTTCTTGCTTGCATCAAACTGATTACCACCTTGGAGTCACCTTCCACTTCTAACTGTTGCATACTCCACTGCTTAGCTAGTCTCAGCCCTTGTAGTAGGGCCTATTTCTGTCCTTAGTGAGTCCCCCACCCTAATTGGACCCAATATGAGGGCCAGCACCTTTCTTCCTCATATCTGAAGACTCCCCCAATGCCTGAAGGACCTGGATTGCCTAGAGAACTACCATCAAACTATCAAAGTTCAGCTTTACTCTAGCCTGCAGAGAAGGGAACCAACTCTCCTGCACAGTATGAGAATGGGTGGAAGAAGAAGCTATGACACTTCATCCTCTAAGCAAATCATCATAAGAGAAGTCCTTGAATAGTTGTAGAATTTTCAGCCAATGTAAATCTTTGATGGTAATACCCTCAACAAGTGCTTCCTTGGATTTTTCTTGCCCTTGGAGGATCCTGTTGTTTCTTTTTTCCCAAATCGACCAAAGAATGGCTGATCTTGTTAATCTCCACATCACCCTACCCCTTTTGTTTGGTTGACGGAAGAAACTGGGGTAAAAAAAAGTTTAGCACACACAAGGGGGAATTCCAGCTGCACCTAAAAGAGAGAGGAGAACCAATCCCAAAGGTAAGAAACAAAGGGACAGGATAAAAATAGAACAATTGAAAGATAAGTTCATGGTAGAAGGAAAATGAAATTTAGATGACTATATGATATGTGGCTTAGAATAGACAATGATATTAAAAAACTTGCACCAAAGGTTTTAGGAAAATCTAAAGGAATTTGATAAAGCACTAAAAAAAGTTGGTGGTAGAATGAAGAGATTCAAAATATACTCAACTTGAAACAGATGTGTTATAATAATGAATAAAAGATAAAGTGCTAAGTGTCATCTAGGGAACCAGATCTGCTCTAGGTTCAATGGTTTAAATATGAAGAGATACTGAAGAGAGCAAAACAACAATATAGGGATGTCAGGAAAAACCAACCCCATCCCCAAAGGAATCAAATATACTATAGTGATGAATTACAAGTTCCTAAGAGGGACCTAGTGGAAAATATGCTACAATGGGAGCAAATTAAGAGGGGGAGAGGGATGTGTGTGTGTGTGTGAGAGAGAGAGAGAGAGATCAGTGTGAAACCCAATGCAAGCTGTGGTGTTCCTGTTTCAAGTTAAATCGGCTCTACCAATGGCATATTTTGAATGCTAAAGTTGAATCACCTATGTGAAGTTTATGTGAGCAGAAACGAAAGTGCAACACAATGTACTAGACACCCTCCTAATTAGCTATATTTATTAATGATTAGAGGTTCTTAGTTAAGCAGTATGGAATCATGTCATCTCAGAAAAGATCATAGAGGGCTGATTGTATGTAATCCTCTGATAGTTTTCAATCTGCTGTTGACCCGACTGGTCAAACCATTCGAACTGTCACCTAGTCAAGATTCCGTGTCTGGTTCAATCAAGACCCATCAGACAGTCAAAAACCATTTGACCTGGTCAGTTTAACCGTTGACCCGTTCGACCTGATCACTGGGTCGCGGGTTGCACACTTAATGTATGCAAACTTTCGGAGGCCATAACTTTGCACTCCAATGTCCAATTAGAGTGATTTTTTTTTATATTTTGGGTAACTTTTAGAGATCTATGTGTTGCAAGGTGTTGTAAGCGCCTTGCCCCGCTATTTTCACAAAAAAAAAAAACTTTTTTTGGCCTAAAATTGCAATTTTAATCTTTTTTATAAATAAAAAATTAAAAACTGAGTTAAAAATATAAATTAAATATAAAAAATACATATAACACATCTAAAACATATTTATACATTATTTATTGATAAAATATATATTTATACACACACACACACACACACACACACATATATATATATATACTTAATACATATATATGATGACGTGGAACGGTCTGAGCTGTTCGACTCGGCTGGTTGAACCGGTGACCTGCAACCCAGAGGAAAAAACAGTTTGGCCTCTGGGTCGATTTTTAAAACATTGGTTAATATTGATCAACAATGGACAGGGTCCACCAGAGAAATTATCACAGCTGCAAATGAAAGAATGAAGCCATACTTATTGCAGAATTTGATTTGGAGAAAATCAAGTCCAAGAGGTGGCCTTTTCAAGGTTATTCTGATGGCAATTGTTTTTCGTTGTGATGCGACCACACATGGGTGATCAACAGTACTTACAGATCAGTTCTATCAAAAGGAGAGGAAAGAAAATAGTGCAGATATTTTATGAGCCACTTGTGCCCTTCTATGTATTTTGGAACTTTTTCTTTTCTTTTTTTTATCCTTCCACCTAGTAAATTTATCCCTTCTTTGAATGATTTCCAATATGTAAAATGGCTTGTTTGGAATGAAACAAGGTGGTAATATTAATCTAGAGTCCTGCAAATCATGAGATGTGAAGTACAAATTGTCTAGATGTGATAAGACCAGCCTTTCGACAGGTTCCCCAAGGGAATTCCCACATAATGCCTTGATCAAAATAAGGTAATTGTTGAATTGCATTGGATAGTGATAGATGTTCTCAAAAACAGGGCCAATGAGCTGCCTGGTTTTTTGGGCTTCTTTACAAATGCATTCCACTCTCACCAGATAATGGCCTCTCATCAAAATATTGTGAACCATATAATGGCTTAGGTTCTAATCGCAGTCCATGACGTGGGGACCAGATTTGTATCATCAGAAAGCTTAAAAGATCTCAGTATCTTTCGTTCAAGCCCATCAGCACAATGGTAGGGAAGTAGAGCTTTTTGGATGCAACACCAGCCACAGATTCAAGTCTGTTGACTTGCAGTTTGTATGGTTTCAACATCATTTAAGCACCGCTTTCCAGCTTAGAAAAACTCCCGGTTCAGCAGAGAACTAAGATCATTCACTCTTTTTCTCTGCATATGATGAAAGAAATGAAATGTCTTTGTTTATCAGATTTCCCAGCATTTAGAAAGGTTTCTTTACTACAGAAAATTTTTCCTGGGTTCCACTCAGTTGTCATTGTATGCAAAGAAAGCTCTTTGAGAATCTATTCTCAAGCCAAGCAGTCGATAGTTTTTGCAAAAAAGTTCGTTTTCAAGAGCTTTAGCATCAAGGGTCTGATGTCATTTGATGCTAATACTATCTTCTTTACTTCCTTTTATTGCTTCAGTGTTGATTTTTCATGTTGGAACTAATACTGTCAATTGGGTCTGAACTATATGCGATTAGGAACATCCGCATTAGAGTCCATCTGGAAGAATGACAAACACAATATCTATTGTGGCTGTGATGAGCGGACCAATGAAATAGAACTTGACCTGTATATTTGCAGTCAAAGAGCACCTCAACTTCCAGGAATTGAGTGGCTTCAGAGTCGCCTTGTATTGTTTTAGGGGATACCAGAGAATGCCACTTGATTTAATTGTGCTTTTGTGAGAAATGTTTTTTGTTACTTTTTCTTTCTTTCTTTCTATCATTGCTCCCTGTCTCTCACTATGCCAGAATCCTTGACGTCAGTTCTTCAACTTAACTTCCTACTTCCCAGCTACCGGGGAAAGAGCCCTGAATGGCTTTTTCACTCTGAACCACAGGTTCAGTTCTCTTGCTAACTTTTGCCCCAAAGGATTAGCATCTTGATTAGATATGATTATGACAGGGTTCAAAAGTGACTATGCGGGTCCTTTGGGCTCTTTTGACACTGCTTGATTTCTTGCTCAGGACCTTTTATTGTTGAATGTCACATGGAATTTACAGGATTCCCAACAAGCTTGCGATAGGGGCTGAGATATCATTTGAGCTTACAGCTGATTAATTATTCTAACACTCCTTTGGTATCCTGAAAAAAGAACTGGGTCCTGGTTGATCAATTTGTTAGTGAATTTCTACAAGTTCTTTTTTATGCAAACATTAATGATAGTTCGGGGGAAAGAGCACTACATATCTATGGAACTTGTCTATAATTTCTTCCTCATTATTTGCAAGGATTCTGTAAAAGCTCCTCAGTTGAATCAAAGTGTTCTGCTGGCTATCTGAAAAAGCTCCTCTGTGAACTGGAGGCATAATAATTTCGATACCTTAGAAGGGTTCTTGACCAAAGTGTTCTGCTGGCTATCTGAATTCCCACTGCAGTTGAATCAATACTTTCTTACGGGTGTAGCAGGGGAAATCCGGGACAATYGGGGATTTGGAGGTGTTTTTAGGGATGAAAATGGGGTCATTTTTGTTATTTTCTCAAGCCCAATTAGAGTGGGTGACTCTCTTAGAGCTGAGATCTTTACAATTATGGAAGGAGTACAAAAAGTTAAGGAGTTGAACATCAAGAAACTCTTAATTGAAGGGGATTCAGAGGTGGTGATAGGGTGGCTGATTAAAAATCACAATGGCTTATGGAAGTACAATAATGAGAAGAGGAAATTCAAGTGGCTGGTGCGGGATGGAAGTTAAGATACTTTGGGTTAAAAGATTGGCTAATTCTCTAGCTGATGGTTTAATTAAACAATAGACAGAAAGGGATGCACTTGTTTGGGTTAAGCTGTAACTATAGTGTGTTTTCTTTCTTTTCTTGAGGTTCTTTGTTGCTCTTGGAAGATAAGCGTGTTTGTCTTCCTATTGTAAATCTTCTTTTGATGAGTTAATGAAAGTATTATTGATAAAAAAAAAGTTTCTATAAAAAAATACTTGTGAGAGATGTTTATTCTCTAGGTAAAGACCATTACCTAATGCTGGTCTCAGCTATCTAGGAAGTAGGATCTTGGGAGAGGAGAAATCAGTTATGCCCATGGGAGAAGTCCTAGGCAGGAGTACTCCAAGTCTCCAACCGGTGTAGCTGATTTTTTATCGTCTAGGGAGCTCAAAAATCAGCTACTCCGTTTGGAGTAGCACTGGGCTAAATCCGTGGATCATGGCCCTTAGATGAATTGATGCAGCCCACCTTGAATTGGATTAAGCAACGTAAGGTGGGGCCATAAAATTGCATCTAAGGCTGGGATTTCACGGTTTTAGCCAAGTGCTATTCCAGTTGGCGTAGCTGATTTCTCATCGTCTTGGGAGGAGTAGACTGGTAAGGTCCTAACCTTTAGCACAAAATGGCCGCCCTCATACCCATATTCTCACACTTGCCAGCCGGAGATTTTACCATTAGACAAGTAATGGTCCCAATGTTAAGCCAAAAGGTATTAACTGGTGGAGCCTTAAGTGAGCAGGTGTAGGTTATATGCTCAAAATGGAGCCTTTTCGGAATGTGTGCAGGAAAATTAACCAGGGTAAAAGGAATTGTTCAGTTGTTATATTCTGCACTCATGGGTATCAGACCAAAAAATTGGTATTTGAAACCAAAGAATTTTCATTTTCTTCTTCCAGAAGGCTGATCTATGCCAAATTTGTCATAGTCAATCCGTGGTCACTTCTGTTTTTCATTGTCATTGACAAAAAATTATACAATTCACCCCCCCCCCTATGTTCAATGAGGAGGATTAATTGGTCTATGTTAACCAATCTATTGATCAACCAGAGAGAGCAAACCATTACTAATTAAAAGTAATGATTTGCAGAGTAGATGAGAGAGGATATCAAATTTAAGCATCATAATAGACCCAAGTACAAGTTTTCGTCTTTTTTTTCCTTTCCATGTTTATGCCAAATTTGTATATCGGATTGGATGATCACACCATTTTTCAGCCTTCTGAAGGACTATCACCTAACAACAGTCTAACAGCCTGAATGAAAATTGAAAAACACATAAAAGAACAATGAAAGAAAAAGTCATGGATATATCCACTATCAAATCTAAAGTAAAAGAACCAAAGCAAACTCATCGTTTCTTTAGTTTCCTCTTGTATATCCATGGAGATGAAACAAAATACCAGACCTTGGAGGTATTTAAACCTTGAAAGTTTTTTCTTGGCCAATTTTCTCTTCTTCTTCTTCTTCTTGATCCTCTACTTCACTGGCATCGTCCTCTACGTTCTCGGTTGCTTCATCTTCTGTTTCTTCCTCCTCTCCTCCTCTTCTTTCTTCGTCATCTTCCTCTAGAATTCCTTCTGATTGAACAAAGCGAATTTTCAGACGTCCATCTTCCCTACGTGCATGCAGGAACTCCTGGGTCGGTATTCTAATCTCCTTCAGAATAAACCTCCCGTCGTATCGATAAGATTTGAAGCAAACCCATGGCTTCCCGCTGCTACCAATGCAAGAGATGGGTGGTGGGAAAGGCCTACCAGTTGCCTTCGATCTCTTAAACTCCCCAGATTTATTCTCCCACGATGAGTATTTCGATATATTCAATTTCTCTTCCTCTTTCGTCTTCCAGTCACCGCTGGTATCACTTTTGGAATCCTCGACATCATCGGAGCTCTCAAATCCGAGGCCTTCCGTGCAGTGCTGCAAACTTTCTGAATTCTTGGATGAAAACCCATCACCGCTCTTGGGTGAACAACCCACGTATTGCTTCTTTTTCTCTGCATCCAACAAAGAATCCCTAGATGGTAGGTCGTTGTTGTTCTTCGTCCTCTCCCCATTGATAGCATTACCATCGTTTTTGAAGTTGAGGGTTTCTAACGCAGGCTGTGGATTTGGATCCACCAAGGAAGATGAGTTAGGAGGAAGAGAAGGCAAGGATGGTGATTTAGGATTTTCCTTGAAGTGCAGCTCGCCAAAAATCTCAGTAAAAGATGAGAGGTCGATTGGTTTCATGGATTTGATCTGGTTCCATGGGGAAAAAGATCCGATGAGCGTAGGATTTTCTGGCATTGGCTTCTCAAAAATGTGTTCAAGGCTACCACAGGCAGCCATGGCTTAGCTGTTTAAGAGTGACAAAAAGGAGAAAGCAATACAGAGAAAGAATGAAAGACAGATGGGTTTGGTTTTGTTTAAAAGTGAAGACAGATTAGAGGAGAAGCCTTAATATAGAAGATGAAGGAATGCAGATTGCAGAGAGAGAGAGGGGGGTTGAAGTAAATGAGGAAGGAGCTAAGCACACGGGGTTGACATGGAGAGGTGGTCGAATTAGGAGAGGGTGCTATTATTGGGGGCAATACTGTTGTGTTTTGGGTCTCCAGTTGGAGTGTATTCAGGATTGGTGGTGAGAGAGCCTTGTGACGTGTTTGTTATAGACCACAGCCTCTCCATGTTATTTTCTCTCTCTATTTATAGCTGGAGAGAGAGAGAGAAGATAACCAAATATTACTAACTACCCCTCACATTTCATTTCAATGGCACCTTCTGAGACACTTCCATTCCTCGCTATCTTTCTAGTATCTAGTAGTTGAAATTTGAAAGCATTCGTGACCACAAAATCTACTCACAGGGAGCATAGAAAGTCATTGATTCTATTATGGTATAATGATAGTAAAATCAACAAAAAGTTGAAGAGCTTTTCATTTTCAGGAACCTGATTCTCCACAAATCACTGATTTGGGCATGGCCAAATCTGTTTAAAAGAAGTAAAATTCTATGTTATTTACAGGCTTACAGCACTAAAATGGTTCTGGGAGCTGTTATTGTGAAATATAAATAGAACAGTTACAGACTTACAGTATTAAACTATAATTTGATTTTGGGATTCTAAATTCTTATTTCTAATGCCACATATTGATTAAACTAGTAGGTGGGTTGTTCTTATTTCTTAAATTGGAGCAAGTAATTGCAAGAAATTTTCTGAAATAGAAAGTGGAGTCGTCAATTAGTTGGACAATTAAAACCATTTAAGGTTTGGAGTTTGGACTAATTCCCAGCTTGAATGCGGCCACAAAATTTATGAAAAAATCATGTATAAGAAGAACTGCCGCTGTAGAGCTGTAGTGAATTAATGTAATCTCTCTCTCGCTCGCTCGCTCGCTTGCTCGCTCTCTGAAGCACCTTTTTGGTTCAATTTATTAGGCCCTCAGCCCTCCCCAAAGGTGGCATGAATCCATTTTTACTTTGACCTAGCTTTCCTGTACAATCACCCCCTTCGTCTCCTCGTCACCTAATTGCGGGGCAGACTGGTTTCTAACATTGTTTCAATTTTTATGAAAAAAAAAAAGATTTTCCATTTGATGCATGTGAAAATGAGGGTGCCCCCATCATGACAATAATGAGATAGCCACTTATTGCCCAAGTAAAAGAAGTTTGGAACCCTTCATCATGTGGGTCATAGGTCCAACCCTAGCTCAAAAACCAGCAATATAGAATGATTCCAGTAGAATTGGACCCCTTTAATGATGGGTCCAGATCCTCTATACATGGGTCACATGGTGTGATTGGACTTTGAAGGGAAGACCACCTTATTATTGCAGTTATGATAAGGGCACCTTCATAGTAGCCCAGCTCGTTCCACTTTAGCTTTACCATTTTCATCTTCTGGACAAGAATCTAGGAAGAAAGTTCCTGAAGCTCTTATTTATGTTTGACTGGCATTTTAGAGAGACTGGTCTCATGAGCCCCAATAAAATGATACATATATTAATAGATTGCAAAGAGGAAGCAAGGAAAAAACAAGGAGAACCCATTTGTGAATTTAAAAAAAAAAAAAAAAAAGAAACAAAAAACAAAACCCATTTTAGAAACTTCAAACTTGTGAGCTTTCTACAGGAATCAAACCTATCTTGTTATGGTTTTTTTTTCTGTCCATGTGTTACCAAAATCAATTTGTTTTCATCTCTAGTTTTAAACATTTCCAATGGGTTTGTTAATCTAACCGGCAGTCATAACCTATTTGTGAATTCTAGCAACAAAACAAAACCCATTTTAGAAACTTCAAGCTTGAGAGCTTTCTACAAGAATCAAATCTATCTTGATTATAGGTTTTATGACTACAGGTTAGATTGACAAAACCCATTGGAAATGCTTAAAACTAGAGATGAAAACAAATTAATTTTGGTAACACATGGAGAGAGAAAAAAAACATAACAAAGCAAAATACAAGAGCATCGTTTGAGAAGTCCCATTCTTAGATGCCATGTTCAAACTTCATACCAATCAAATCAGATTATCGATGAATTCAAACTTGGTTGGTTCTGGAAATGAAACATCAAAGACAGACAAAGAAGATAATCCAGTTGACCTAATTTTCCTTGTGCACCACTCGTTGGATGCATAGTTCAAAGTATCGATACGCAGGCACGAAAATTGCATTTTGCACATTTCTAAGGCTCGGTTTGTAGAGATTATAAATACAAATACGTAGAACACAAAACCTTATGTTTTCTATTATTTTGTATGTATTTATATGGTATATATTTATACTCTTTCCGAAGTGCGCCTAATGTACAATACTCTTCTTTTAGGATGGCATTTCAGGGTTAGATAAGATAGGAAGGGTTCTAATGATCAGAAAGAGAAACTCATAAATCCCTTTAAATGGATTCAAAAACGTATACGTATCATACAATAAACACCGATGCATTGCGATATTTTGAATACTGGTTGGATGATTTAGATGGTGAATTGGAATTTGTCGATACATCATGGATGAGCCCTCTGAATCTGGTCTTGATTTTAAGGAAATTGGAAGAGGTGGGACATGCTCCAACACCCAGTCACCCACAAACCTACCATTATACACAGCACAACTTAACCTAGATTTCTAAACTTGGATTCAGCCACGTTACGGTCATCACCTTCCGCTGCTGTCGCCAGCAAAACAGAATATTCCAATCAAGCTTTTTGTATCCTTCTGATAAGAACGATAGGTTGCTATTTACAATGGCGATAGTGTATCTGGATAAAGCAAAGAAATGGAGATGATGATGCAGACCACCCTGGCATATATAGCTTGTAAGTTTCCAACATGATCCTGTTCTCTACAATGTTCACTGGTTGAGAATGAAAATGCTCCACCTCTTTATCAGTTTATCCTGATCTCATCCATGAGTTAACGGATAAGAATCAATATCAGTAAACGCCAATTCATCATCTGGAATTTACTGTCTCAATGACCACTTACAGTGATCCATCGTAATATAAAATTTAACTGGATAGGATTTTAAATGGTAAATTAATAGAGATGCTGTAGTTTTGGTATGTTGACAGGAACTCTTCTTCTCCAGTGCTTCAGAAGAATAGCCTCAATTTCCTAAAGATGTCATTCAAAGCTCAAAAATACCATGTAGACACCCGATAATTTACAATACCCATTACTGAATCTGAGCTCTTTGAATCCCTATTAAGGAAGCTTGCATGTACCCAGTTCCTGTAAATGAAAGATTTCAGAAAAAGCCAAGAGTGATGTAAAAGCACAAATCATTCCAATGGACTTCTTCATGTGTGGTGGGTACGGGTGGTTCTGGGAAACCATAACATGTTAGTGTGGGATAACATGGTGGAAATGTTATACACTAAAGCAGAAAAGGTGACCTCTTTCTCTCTCTCTCTAGTTCCAAATAAAACACAGTGCCAAATTCTTGATCATATTAGTCCGTCCTCCAACTGGACCTCAATCCTTCAACGCCACGCTTCAACCCGTTCTGTCCTTGAATTTATACGACTGACGATACTGCTTCCCTTCGACTTCTCAACAGTTCCTGCCACCCGAACCATATGCTGCCCATTGGCTTTTTTGGATCCCTTTTTTAGATTAGAGTTACTGGATTGACCAGTCTTGTTCTTAGGAATACTTGATTGGACCGTTGATTTTGGACCATTAGAAAGTTGAGTTGGATCCTCGCAAGGGCAGTCGTCAATTGAAGAGCTGTTTTCATCAGGGTTGACTTTGTGAACAGAAGGTTGAAAACTCTGGGCTCCATCATCAGTCACAGAATCATCTTCAGTAGGGTCATGGGAAGTTTCTAAAACTGGTTCTTCATTACTGAACATATGCTCAGTCTCTTCTTTAGAGGAAGCTACATCCTCCAGACAGGGCTGAGAAGGGCTATGGTGACCATTCTCATCAGAAGGCTCTAGGTGTGAAGCAGTTACCACCACTGAATCCTCTCTTTCTTTGAGTGTTTTTATGATCAGTGTCTTGAGGAAGTTCATCACTTGCACTGCATACATCAATGCAGTCAAAGGATCTGCCATCTGCAAAAATAGCATGTTAAGACTTAAGAATTACAGTGTTTTTGGTTTGTGCATTTGTCTGTGGTAAAACCAGCCATGATAGCCTCATCCCTCCTAATGCTTAATCCATCCACACTGCCAGTTAACCACTGGCACCACATATACCAATTGTATTACAAAATGTAACCCCATTTCCAGGTAAAACCATCTATTCTTTATTTTGTTCCTAAAAGTGTCCATGTTTGTTCTATAAATACACACTCAAAACAAAAAGAATTATGTAAAAAAATCTTATAAATTTTAGAAGTTTCATTTCAATAACACAAGAAGATTCAATTGTTAATGGTCTAAAAAGAACTAAACATGAAAGCATAGTATTAAAATATCAGATGGAATGCCCAGATAATCCATCATGAATTCAGGAAGGAGTTTCATCCTCTCTAGTCTCTACCTCTGTGTCAAACTCTATATTCATTGGGCATATTTGAGGCCCCAGTTAAAAGAGGATCCTTCTGTGTTAAAAACCATTCCACATGTTATAGGCTGATTGAGAGGATCCCCTCTCTAATGGACATTTTGGATTTTTCACAATATTCCAACAGGTAGGCCAACTATCAAAGATTCCTACTGGACCAAGTTGAGAAGCCTGCTTCCTGTGTACTGTGCACTGAGCAACCTGAACAAAACAATAGTTGACAAATATCCTTGATCTTCTCAAGTTAAATGATGCAAGAAAGCAGAAAGCAGAAAGCAGAACATGGTTTTCTCTCTGCTTTTTCTTACTTTTCCTTTGGGGTTAGATGTACCAAGTTTAAAATCAGACCTAGAATGGGGGGGGGGGGGTGGATATGTGTTTAGGTTTTGCAGAAAAAGAAAAGAGAAAAAAAAAAACATTTATGTAGGTAAATTACTAGAGAAATATACATTTCTCACTCACTTGAGTCATATTTGGAGCAAACACCATAGCAACATTGCGTGCATTCATCTTGTTTATATGTTCCTGCTGAGCAACATCAGCCATCAGGTTGATGGCCCAATCCAGCAGAGCAGCCTCTGTTGGGGGTAGGAGTCTCACAAGCTGTGCACATTCCTCTTCTGTCTGGCATTGCATTACCTGCTCTGGTGAAAGTGAATCCAACACTCCAGTAGGAAGTTCTCTAAACCAAGCCTACAAAAGTATCAAAATATCAAAATTAATGCAGCATACCACAAAGGGAAAAGGCTCAAATTTGAAATTACCCCATACAATTTAATTTTTTTTGTGGAAAAGATGTTTTTCATTTTCATCTTGCTCTACAGGAGATATGTCTAAAGGCATTCATGAATATGAAGCTAGACAGGAAATCTAAACTGGGGAATAACTACCATATGATGGGCCCACTAAGGAACCTAAGAACTTGGTGATTTTTCACTGGATAACCCCCTTTAAACCATTATAAGGAATACACTATATCTAAATTAGTTAAGTTAAAAGAAGAGCACTGGGGGGATGGGGGTTTTGTCTGATCAATGTCCTAACTAAAATCTACAGATGAACCTTAAAGGAATACACCTCACTTGCTCTTAAGCTGAACCTTAAAGGAGAAAAATTTTACATTATTACTTGCAAATGAGAATTAATACATAATATTGAACGAATAGCTTGGAAATCCAACACATTCATGAATAAATATCTTTGGGATTTCAAACCAACGACTACAAGAAAGATTAATTTATTTGAAAATAAATCATGATCAAATTGCAAGAAATACTGAAATACCTTAATAAGACCTGCCAGACAGTGAACATCAATGTCATCTGGCACGATCCCCCTGTTTAGTTGGTCTCTAACATATTCCTCTTGACTGTTTTCTGCATTGATTCTAAATATCCCTTCTGCCTGCATATTAAAGTTTAAATGGATTAATGAAATCAAAAAGCAAAAAAAAATAAAATAAAGATTATGCAAAGACCACATACAACAGAATAAGTTGGAAGGGAAAAAGCCCTTCATCTCAACTGGATGGTAAGTTGCCACAAGAAAAAGAAAAAGATAAAACAAGTAGGGTGGCATACCTGCAAGCCCCCTTGAGAGTACAAGCGTCTTTGCATCAGCAGAAGTATTGTTGGCACACTGTTCCCTCTAGAGTCATATGACAATTGCATGGATTCTGTTGAAACTCCAAAAACACTTGCACTAAAGGAAAAGGAAATTAAAGTCAAAAGATTCAGGCAAGGAAGCTACTGGTAGAACAGCTATCCGCATGGTTATCATATTTCAGAACATAGAGTGCAACATGTCATGCATTATGACCACGACTTAAAACATCTGAACCTATCACTATGGTCATCTAAGTTGCACTGCCAGTTATGTAAGCAATTAATCCAAGTAAATTCATATATATGTGATAGTGACTCGGAAAAGTCAAGTCATAATCTTTTAAATTTATTCATATTTATCCAGTTTAAGTGTTGGTTGGGTTAAATACCAAATTTGAGACCCTAAACCTTGATGATGGCCCCAAGAACACCAACACAACCAACAAATCCATACCAGATAAAATTGTGAATAAAGATGCAATTTTCATGCAAATGTAAAAAAATATATATTTTCATGTGGAACATCATATATAGACCAAGAATATGCAAAATGCTTTACATATTCAGATAAAGACACTAACACAATAAATTTAAATCAGATTTTGTGTTATGGATTAGCTGCTTAACATATTCACAGGTTATTTTTTGTGATGATATGTATATTTTATTATCAAAATAGATCCTTGCTAATTCGTTACAGTCTTACAGAACAAACAATGTTTTAGATTATTGAAGAGAAAAGAAAATTGGAGAAAATCCAGTACACTTATTGGATGTAAGAAAAAGACAAGCACACCAGTATATTTGTATTGTCTACTTAGCTTCTTTAAGTGTTTCTCCATGCACTATGACAGACCTTCATCATCAGTCACAGACAGTTGTTAATCGATCTCCATTTCTTGGTAAAAGTTTAATAAATATAAACAAGGTCTCAAATTTCACAATGTATCAGGCCATATCAGACAATATGCACCGTTCCAGCAGAGCCCGATACATGGAAAACATAGAATAACCACCTCTCCCAACAAAATCATACTACAAAGTAAGTGCATCTAGTGTTACCAAGAATCTAAGTCTCGGTTTCAGTACTAGCAATAAAACAGAAACCAAATGCACATCAAAGCATGTAGCTCCAACCATCCCTAATGAATTCTAGAGAAGTAGAGATATAAACTGCTGTTTGAAGCATGAATCATGTAGAATCTTTAAGTTTCTTAGAAGCCAGATAGAAAAATACGTAAAATCTACCAGCTCAGTGTTGTTAAAAATTATAAACACTTTAATATGCATTACATGATGTTTGCCAAACCATCTCTATTGAATTCTAGAGATATAAACTGTTTTTTGATGCTTTACGTGATGTTTGTCCTACACATTCCAAAAAAGAGCTCCAACTGAAAAACAAGTGATGGACTCAAAGGTTATAACCCAACCAAGGTAAGAAGAGGCATTATTAATTTGCCACAAAATTCAATTTACTGCCATAAGAAAGACACTTTTACCTCAATACCCCCAACGTGACTAGAAGTTAAAGCAATTTTCCCACTGTCAAGTGTCAAATAATTTGAAAATCAAGGAGCCAATAACCAGTTGACTTTGGGCTCTCTTATTCTATGACTCAATAAGGACAGAAGAAAAAGGAAGTTAGATGTCAAAACTGAAAGGGTTGTATAAATACTGCTCTATGTCCTAAGCAGGACACTTATTGTTAATCCACGAAAAGCAATTAACTCATTATTAATTTCCCTAAATATGAAAAACATTTTGAATAGAGATTCCAAACCAAGAGAGTTACTCGAATTATCAGGATGGCAAATGGAATTTTCTTTATATTACGATTTATGACTTACGGTTGTATCGACAAAAGATTTAGAAAAGAGATTAATCAACTCAGTGGATGATAGCAAAGCAAGATTTGATGTTAAGAACATTCAAACCCAACCAGAATGTAAAAGACAAAAAAAATAAAAAAGTTTGACCTAGTGGCCGCTAGGGATATACTCCTAGTACTTCACCTTCAATGCTTGGAAACTCTATTAATCAGTCTATTTGAATAACCATTCACTATATCTGGTAGATTTTTCTCATTGGGTAATGCTTTGAGTGGTTATGACTTGGTTCAAATTCAGCCATATTTCTACTAAAATGTGAAAACAAGAACCCACCAAAATTTCAACCAAAAAAAATGAATTTTAAAGCTTAGATAAACCCAACATGAACCTGTTCATTTAAAATCTACAGAGCCTTCCAGAAAATCTGCGACTACAGAAACAGAGAATCCATGCCCAGTACGTAAAGCGTCCGAAGACAACCAAATTCAAACAGAAACCAATAAAAAAGGAGAATGTTGAACAAATTCAGCTAACCTGGCGCTTGGAGGCCTCCTGGGAACCTCAGGTTCGAACTCCACCGGCAATCCGAGGAACCCATTAAACCGATCGAATGTGACGTGAGCAACATGGCGCACATTAGTCGGCCAGCCGATCTCCATCGAGCAAAGCTCCTCCCTCTCAGTCCTACAAGCAACCAAAGACTTGCGAATTGCAGTCACCAAAAGGGCCAAAAGAGACAGCTGATCTCCCTCCTTGTCTCCTTCCTTCCTCTCTCCGTCTTCGTCGGTACCCGAACCGTCGTAGCCTTCGCCTTCGACAACAGGAAACGAGTTGTTGTTGCTATTAATAACGGACTGAGACTGGGTCTGCATCTGTTGGGTCTGGCGTGTGCCATCATTGGGTGTGGCTACGCAAGATAAGGAGCTTGGAGATGAAGGAAAATGAGATGGGGAATGTAGGACTTCCGTCATGGCTGGCACTGAAATGGAGCCCCACAAAAAGGAGAAAATAACAGTAAAAAAAAAAAAGAGATAAATCACTAGAAATGAAGGGATTTTAGGGAAAACTAGGGGAACGAAAAGATTGATAAAATGGGTTTCGAAAATTGAGTAGAGTTGGATTGAAGGAAGGGTTTTAGGTGGTGGGGCGTGAGAATCATTAACGATTATTTTTCTCTCTTTTCTCCTGTCTGGCTTCGATTTAGATGTTTGAAGAAGCGAGAGAGAGAGAGAGAGAGAGTATGCGTTTGATAGTTATAGCCTTGTAGGAATTAAATTGAGTACTTAATTATCTCTGCATGTATACAAAACGTAGAGAGAGAGAGAGACAGAGAGAGCAAGAGGGGTTCCGTGGAGATGAGCTGGGAGGTAATGAACTCCTATGAAGTTCTTGTCTGCTTCAGTGAGACGCCTGCTTTCTTTCTTTGCCTCTTATTTTAAGGACTCTCTCTCTCATTCACACTTTCATTTGAAAATTAAGGAAACTGGTTTGCAAGCTGTGTTCTCTCTCTCTCCCAGTCTCCCTCTGATTCAAATCTTCCTATTTTCCACAGTTTATTCAGCCATCAAACAAACAAACCACAAGCAGATCTATACACGTGGCAACACTCTGCCATGGTCCCACACCCACCTCCTGATGTCACCAACTACCTACTATATATAGGATGGATCCTTCTTGATTTTCATGGGCCTTCCTTACCTGTGCTGCATTAGCTCAAAAATGGAAATGGATAAAAGTGCGGTGCCCCTTTTGATCCAATTCAAGTTCAACACGGATACCCATCGACAGTGGTGCATGAAATTGACCTAGCCCCGGATTTGGGGCTTGATATTAAATTCTAAACCATTGGATGTCGAGATTGGAAAATATTTCTATCATAACCTACCACGTGTTCCAAGGTGACAATGGTTTATTAATATTCAATTTGATAAAAAAATATTAATTAAAATATTGTATCAACTTGATAGAAGAGCGTATTCAAGTTCATAAGATAATACGATAGCAGCCATCTTGGGCTTTGCCAAAAAAAACAGTCATTTTGGGCCTTCCCCATTTAGTAATGATTATAAGGACGTTTTTCTATAAAAATCATTTTTCCTATTTTTGGCTTTTTAAAAATTATTTTTTTCTTTTTTTGTATTTTATATATATACGTAGGATGATTAGAGGGAGGAAGGTGCACATGAGACCATCTAACCATTCCCACGGGAAGCCTATGGGTTTAATTTTATATTTTCATTTGTATAGGTTGGATCTCACTCACAAAATGTTCTTACATCCAAGGCATTATTTGTGTGCATTGGATTTTTTTTTTTTTTTGTCAATGTTAATATTTAGGGGTTTTAATCGTTCAGTTTACCTTTAGGATGGAGTTAAGATTTTTAGGGGTGGACTGAATTCTAATCGTGGTTTATAGGAGGCTACTAGTAAACTAGGAGGTGGCTATAATTTCAGATTTCTGAAGAGGAATACAAATGTTTCTAATGCCTCCCCGTTGCACAGTGATAGTATCTTGTGAGTATAGATGTGGAAACAGTTTGTGGATACGAGATCTGAAGTGTCATTTTATAGTCATCATGAAGGGAAATTCATCATCTTCAAGGTTTGGGTTGAGCCAGACCATGCAAGCTGGACCAGACCAAAAGTTGGTGTATAATTCAGTTCCAATAATATATTGGTGGGGGGTCCTTGGCCCCCCAAACTTTTTGTTAAAACTATTATCTATATACTGGGTCAGAATGTAATAAAGTGGGTCTTTCCCTTGCCCCAAAACTTGAATTAAAATGTAACGGATCACTCTCTAATGCTCCTCCAACTTTTTAAGTTAAAAGAAAAAATGTTTAATTTTTCTTTAAAAATATGTAATAGACCCAAAACCCTCTCAGTCCATTTTTCCCCAAACCCTATTTCTTCTACTCTCTATCTCATTTTCTTGTTTAACTTGGCCCCCTAAAAGAAAATTCTTGGCTCCACCACTAATAATATATGCTTACTTTCAAATAAAAGTAATTTTGAAAATTTTCTTCTATTATGATTAAGACCGCATTTTATGTAAAAATGAAGGAAAACAAATGATATTTAATAGAAAAACGCTGTAAAAAAAAAGGAAAATGAATCATATTCTTAATTTTATTGGTCATTTTCAATATACATTTTTTCTGTAAGATTTCAATCTACACACTTGAGAGTTAGTTATAAATTGAGAGAGCCAGCTAGCCTTTGCTCGGAAAATGGCTTATAATATATATATATATATATATATATATATATATATATATATATATATATATGTTGATCCATCAAATGCATTCATATCTGGAGGTACCAGATTTATTAGGAGCTTCCCCTCAATTTTCTATATTATATGTCTATATATGCAAGGATTATACACACATTTTTTATTTTTTCTTTACCTTTTCTTTTATAAGTCTGTAGTATGATTTATTTTCTAGTTTCAACACTTTAAATTCTTTTTTTCAATTAAAAAAAAAAACACTTTGTATAGAGTTCTAGAATGAACCATGAGAGGGTTCGACCTAGTCTAACCATCCGGTTGGTCCTAATATTCAAAAATCAATATTAGACAGATCAAAGAGAGCAGGTAGTCAGATATTTCCACTTTTTCTTTCCCTTTTAAGGATGGGGGAAGATCATGGTCATGGTCATGGTCAGTCCAAGTTGGAAAATTTGACACATGAAATTAATCTTACCAAACTTTGACCCGCTTTAGGATCGTTGACAAGCAATGAGAGCAATCACGTTCTTTAACTACAAATCTTTAATTTTTCTTTTTTACTTATTATTTTTTTTTCCTCGGTTGGTGGGGATCTACCTTTGCGTCTATTGGTTTCTCACTCTGCTTTCTTTGCCCAACTTATCCCTAAAATCTTGATTCCTGGTCCTAAGGTAAACAAGCAGCTCCAGAATTTTCCAACAAAGAAATTAAATAAGGCTCCACTTCAAATAATTAAGGGCTAATGGGGTTTTTGAGGTATTTGGTTTAGGGTAAATTACTGAAACCTCCCCTGAAGTATCTTATCATTGTTGAAACCTCAAGTAGACCCCTTGTAAGAATCTTATAAAAAGAGGTATAAAATGTCTAAAATACACATGCAATTATTATTAAGACTGGTTTTATAGAAAAAAATAATAATATAAATTTTATAAACAATAAAAAATAGAAAATTTAAAGTTACAGCTTTGCCTTTGAATGATTGATATGAAGGACAAATTTGAAAAATAAATCAATTTCAAGAAAGAGATTGGAAGGGTTTGGACTAGCGATTCATATGAGAAGAAAATTTGGAAAATAAACATTTTGATTAAAAGTAACTGCATAGGTATTTTGGACATTTTCATGCCTCTTCTTAGAAGATTCTACCGAAGGAGATCTACATGCAACTATGTTAGAAAGTTCAGGGGAGGTAATTGCAATTACCAAATTTTAAGGGAGGTATCAGCAACAACCAAAAATTTCAGGAGAGGTTTTAACAATTTACACTTGGTCCAATGGTGTATCATTTTGGGTTGATTAATACAAATTTGTGAAATGTTATAAAAATGTTTTGTGTGTGTGTGAGAGAGAGAGAGAGAGAGAGAGAGAGAGAGAGAGAGAGATTTTTACTTGTAATATTTTGGAAATGTTTTGAATTGATCAATACAAATTGCTATTTTTACCTACAATGTTATTAGATGTTTTTCACACATGTATTTTTCTAGTTAAAATAGATGAATGGAAAAACTTAGAATGACAGAATAAAAATGAAATTATCCCTAGAAACCTAAGAATAGCTTCAATAGGTGGTAAAATGAGAAAATAAATTTAAGATGATTTGGACATGTGCATAGACTACCGCCAACTACACCAATAGAAAAAGTGATTTATTACACATGAAAGCATGGTTTTCAAAATGGATTGGACCGAATGGTCGGATCAAAAAAACCGAGAACCGGTTAGGTGACCAGTTCCGTTTTACCCAAAACCGTTATTTCACCAAAAAACCATTTATTTAGTCAGAAAACTGCTGACCTGGGCAGTTGAACCATCCAACGATTTGGCCATTTTTATTTTTAATTTTTTGTCAGAACAGACCATCCGTTCGATTCAAATAGTCGGACTATTCGACCTGGGAACCCAACCCCTAAAAAATGATGTAGCAACACATATTTCTCAACAAATTTATATTGATAAACCCAAAACCCAACAGCAACACAACATAACAAACACCCGCTTTGTCACTCCAAATGCTTTTCTTTTTTTTATTACAATTCTTCTTGGGCTGAATCAAATAGCAGTATTAAGCAAGGAAATTGGATGAGGAACCCTTTTTGCCTACTTGAAAGGGGGAAAAGTCTGATAACAGGTCACAGTCTTCTTCCTGGGACAATTTCGAGCTTTTTTAGCTGCATGAAAAGATTCTCTGGTCAAGTCAGATTATCCATCAGTTAGGTGACCATGCTCTGAACTGGCTATGTATCTAGCTCCCCAGTCCACATCATCTCTACAGAGAAACCACTGAATTGGCCGTTTCCCAAGTTGATGTAATCAAGCCACTGAAAGCTCCACATTGATTAAAAAAAGTGCCCAGATGGAAGGGCTTTGATCTGGCAATAAAATGACAAGAGCTATTGGACAGAAGCTTGTAGAGACCTTTCTGGGTGCCAACTGTTCTCTGGAAGGATTCTTGAGTCACAAATTCCCTCCTGTAAACAACTCCTAAGCAAGCGTGTGCCCTTTTTTTATAATGTGAAGAAGAGCAAGTAGTGAAATAGACTCTGTGATGATGGGACCCAGCCCAACTCAAGACAATGGAGTGGTTAGAGAAAAACAAAGAGAAAATGAATCAGCAACAGGAGACTGCAATTCATTTGCATCATCATCCCACTCTCTATTTGTCCTACAAAGTAAAACCATCCTTTTGGGGGGAGAGAGATCCAAGAGAAAGGAAACTTGACAACTGAGATTCTAGAAAAGACATTCTCTCTTTTTGTTGCTTTTAGTTGGCTTCTGTTAAGTCCAAAGAATACATGGCCCCCACAGTCCACCACCATACGACTCCATTACTGTTTATCCTAAGCTCTGAGAGAGAAAGAGAGAGGTGGAATGGAACAAACTAGTAATTACAGTAGCAGAGTGTAGGTTAAAAAAGGTGGCAGCTGAATATTTAATGGCGAAGCAGTAGCACAACTCCCAATGTATGTGCTGTTGCTGCGCCATTCAAGGACAATGGATAGAGGAGGAGATGATGATCATGTCTGTGTTTTGGCTGTTGCCATGTGCCCTGATGAGAACTGTTTGATGGACACGTTTGTCTACCACCTTTGTGTTTGGTAGGTAAAAGGATGGTTCGTCCCACTTTATTTTGTTTGGTCCATCTACAGAGGTTCTGTACCAAGTAAGCTAGCTAGAGGAATGGAAATTGGAAAAGCTAGCTCAGTAGTTGCTCTCTTTTTGTTCTTGGCAGGCAACTTGCACAAGGAACAATGGTGGGTACCGTTAGATGAGGTCGCTCTTCCACAGTTTCAAATT